AACCTGAAATAGTCAAAGAAATTTCTTTTATTGATGTTATCAAGGATGGTTGGCGGCGTGAAAACCCTGAAATAGTCAAAGATGTTTCTTTTATGGATACTACCACTAGGGGACGAGAGAAATCTGAACTAGTCAAAGAAGTTTCTTTTGTTTCTACCAAGAATGATACCACTACTAAGGATACTATTATTACTACTACTACTATCGAGGATACTAATACCGAGGATGATAGGAGACGAGATAAAACTGAACGGAAACGACGGCAATATGTCAATTTACCAGAATCAAAAAATATCAAAAAAGAAGTAAGATGGGATGATAATAATAATAAAAAGGAAAATATAAAATCTAATTGGAACATAACGACTAGGAACATATCAAAAGGTAAAAATGGGATGTTAGTCGATTGGAATGTGGAAAAAACGCCAGAAAAAAGTAGAATAAAAATAAATACAGAAAAGAACATTATTTTACGAAAAGAAAAATCTGATCTTATTGATCTTAACGAAGTTTCACCAACAAATAACTCGAATAATTTGAGAAATTACCGTCACCATCATTCATCCAGGAAAGGTGAAAAAGCCACTGGTATTAAACAACAACAAACAACAACAAAAACAACAATTAAATTACAGAAAATCGGTTCTTGTTCAATTTTGGATACGAAAATGAAATCGGCTTCGGCTTTTGAATCTAATCCAGATTTATCAAAGAATTTATCTCGAAATGATTCATTATTAGTATTTGATGGATCAAAGTTTGTACTTGAAAATAGTATCAAGAAAGAAGTTGAAACTTTAATTAATCTTGATGATAATTTGAAACAAGAAACTACCGTAAAATATGATGAAACAAAAAGATTCGAAGATTTAAAAACGATCGATTATACCGGATTCTTAAGTCAAGAATTAAGAAATGCAATGGCGGAGGCTAAAATACATAAACAAGAAACATCAAAATTGGTAAAATCTTTTTATTTATTGATTACTATTTTTATGATTATTTATTTCTTAAATATTTATTATCTTTATTTTCTTTTATTTTCTTTTTTCATATAAGCCTTTTTTTGTAAAATCTGAAAGTTTTATTAAGGAATTTGATCCATTTCATAATTCATCTCGTTCGTCTTGTTCTTCTTCTTTGCGCGATTCGTGATTCAAAATTCTATTATTATCATATCATTACTATTCTTTTTTTTTCACCTGATAAATTTCTAATAATCTTTGTTATGCTATTATTGTGTATTTTTCTCTCCTTTAAAAGTATAAATTGAAATAAAATAAAATTTGATATTTAATTTTTCGAAAATATCAAGCTTTACATACTATATTATCTTTTTTTTTTTATAGGAAATTAAGAAATATTCTTGCTTTGTCTTACGTTTTCTTGTGTATGAGTGTTAGTTATGCCATGCGAAAATATTAATTGACATATTTTCGTAATACTGTTTTCGAAAAAAAGAAATGTTAATATTTTTCTTTTACTTCGTAGAATTGCTGAACCGTTCAAACTTTTCCATTTCTTTTAACAATAAATGAATAATGAGATTTCATCTTTTTTAATACAAAAAAATTGGAATTTTTGATTATAATTATACAGTATTGCTCATTTCTTACATTTTTTTTAAAAAAAAAATACCGCATTCAGAGCTTCGTTCAAAAAGAAAAAATCAAAAATTTTTTTTGAAAATTACGAAAATTAAAATAATTGTAAAATAATACAAAAAATTTATCAAAAATTCTCAAGTTATTTTCAAATCATATGGTTAACTCCCTCGTCTCGTCTAAAAACTATAGATGATTCATAAAAATCGAGTATCTATTATTATTAAATTAAAATACTTTAATTTTAATATTTATATTTATTTATATCAAAAGAATGAAGAAAGAAAGAAAGGATTCAAAACCTTTTGAGGGCATAGTGGATTAGCATCATCATTCCAATGAATAGTCTTTACCCCATTTTTCCTTGAATAAATATTTATTAATATAATTAATATATATAAAAAAAAACAAATAATTAAAATAAAAGTAATAAAAATAGCAATAATAAATAAATAATAAAATCAATACCATCGAATAATAAGAAATAATTTCTTGGTATTTTCATCTCGTTGAACAGCCTCAATACATTCCACATATGGATCCCAATCTGTGACAGCAACCATATTATCCATAAATTCATCCTCGCCTTTTTTACCTTCTTTACCTTTACCTTTTCTAGT